CCGGGCGCGACCCCCGAAAGCGAGAGGGAAAAGAGCACGCGCTCCCCTCCCGCACCCACTGCCGCGACGGGCGCTCAACCCCGACAGGCGCGGGAAGGGAAGGATGTTGTTCAGAAATCGCGCAGTCTTCAGTGCCAGTTGGGTCGTGGCTTACAGTTCCCCCCCTTTCTGCAGTAACGGGTTTTCACAGTTCCCGCAAAGACACCTTTGACTTAATTCCCCCACTCTCCTAAAATCCTTATCCACAACTACAGTGGTCTGTCAAATAAATGAACACAACCTCTCTTCCTTTATATATACACACATATGTATATAAAATGTGTTTTTCTAACCCATGACAGCTTCCTTGCTAAGCCAAAGTTTTTAGTACTCATAACACAATAAGTATCTTGTTTTTCACCAGAGCTCCAGAGAGACATTTTCCACTCGGCAGCCTGAAAAAACTTCCAGCTAGAAGATGCTTTTGCAAGGAACTAACCCTACAAATCCATAGTTTAAACTATTGCTGCCCTTCTCACTCTATTTTCTGCTCTGATCAACATCAGGATATCCTATAACAATGCATCAATTGCCTGAGTAATTCAATCAGATCCCTGATGTAATTACACTGATGTATTTTGGTTTGAAGCTACGTGGATGACTGCTAAAAATTTCAGAGTTTTTAAGATGTCAGTGTTCCATCACAGCAGCCCTTACAACATCACTTCTATTACTGGAAACGGAGATGTCTTGGCTCTTGCTTTTTATTCACAATTACTACTGGGATTACTTGCATGCTTTCTTGAGCCCAGTTACTTAAGCTCTTGCTTGGTACCTCATATTCTGGCTTCCAAACTTCTCTGTTTATTTCTGCCTCTAGAGACAAGGGCTTCTTTGCATAGTGCAAAGGTACTTGTCTACTAGTGGTTTTGTTACTTTTTGCAGTTAGTTTACATTAAATCTTTTTAAGATGTGCAGCAGTTAATTCAACAATGATTAGATTCTGCTCTGTCACCAGTGACAGAAGGTAGGAGTTAACAGAGTACTAAAAAGAGCAATTACTCACGATGTCTGCTGTTATTGTAAGATAAGATCATAACAAGTAGTATTAAATATAGGCAGCAACTTTCCTTAACTATCATTAGTAAGTATGCAACCCCATTTTTCCTTATTTGGCAATTCTGCCGCCAGTAAAACATTATCCTTAAAAATTGGTTGGAACAAATATAGAGATTCCCATTAGAAAATACCAAGCCACCACAAAACACAGTCAGATAAAAGAAAAAACAAAAGAATCATATCTGCAGTCCATATTGCAGAAGGAAGGAGGGAAGGAGGAAAGGAGGGGAAGACGGAGAAAAAAGTAACAGCAAAAAACAAGTAACTGAATTGCCTAGTTTAATAGTGGCTAATATATAAACTTTATTTTCAAATCAAAAACACTACTGAGTTGGAAAAAAAAGTTCATATTAAAAGGATCTGAACAGAAGGACAGTACATGCCACTCTTGGTTTCCTCCTCATTCTGATAGGCAAAAAAAAGGAAAAAGGAAGTTTCCTTTGCTATGCATGGATCTCAACCACAGTCTGGGTACATCTCCTGGGACCCATGCCTGAATCTGCAGGCACAGTCAACCTCTGGTGAGTTTGCCAGAGCTTCCAGTTAAGCTCCCTAACTTGCATATAATCAAGGCACTTTTCAATTCAGAACTAAACTGATTTCTTTTTTTCATCTTTATTTTAAAATGTATGTGGAGAACAATTCAGAGTTCACAGATGGGATTTTTTTGCAATTCCAGCAGCCTTTGAAT